CCACTCACAGCAGGAAAGCGTAAGGGCCTATTTGGAAACCGAGAAGATCGGACCTTGCGTCCCGCCATCCTACAACCCGCCGCGTCTGCTGGGAGGGTCACCTTACGTCTTCCCCTCCCCCACCTGCCCCTTCCACTCCTCTCCCTTCCGCCCTCTCCCCCTTCTCTCTCCCTCTACCATTCTTACACACCCTCCTATCCCTGTCGCTCTCCCCTCTCCTCAGTCCCTAATCTTCTATCATCTAATGGCGACAAGCATTCCAGCCCTGCTCGTCTTTCGTCGACAGGCAGACATGCTGCGAGGCGGGCTCAAGCTCGACGGACCAGAGTCGACTTCGTTCATTCACTTTATACGGCAGCAGCACCACGTGGCTGGCTTTGGGTAGGTAAAATCATGATACAACCATAAAATCACGTAGCAATCGTGTTACAGTCATCGTGGACTGACTAGTGCTGCGATACCCGTGACCCCTAAGACTTACAGGGTTTTAAGTAGCCTTAGTTTTACACAACCGTTTCTGCATAACTTCACAACTATGTCCACAAAGCACAAATTTGTGTTTAATCAAGTACAATTTTTACATAGTTATGCATGACATTTCGTGGAGAGCTTATGGCTGCTTAAAATTATGCATTATTGCATGTTTCTGAACCAAGAAGTAGATGAGGTGCCTTGACAGCTAAGAAGTGGGCGGGGTTTATCAGCCATACCTGGTCCTATGAATGAAAAGGTACAACCATAGATTCGCTTGACTGCAGCTGCCAGCAGCCTGAAGACGTCCACCGCATACTTCGTCAACTTCAGCGCGCCTCAAGTCATTTTCGCCCCAGTTTCGCGCCGCCGCCGCGCACCTCCGTTGTTCACTCATCAGCTTTGCGAGGCGCGCGGCTGCAAAAGGTTGGGGGAGGGCAGCCGTGCCCAGGCATGGTAATGTCCCAGCTGCGTCTCTCTTACAGGCGCACACACACACCTACACACCCACACACACACACGCGCGCGCGCGCACCTGCACACCTACACACACACGCACGTGCCGAATCTGACGCCCTCATTACGAGACGGGTGCGCAGGATGCCTAATGGTCCTTCTAGCGCTGCGTTATGCGTATGTCCCTCTCAGTCCTCGCTCTCTGTCTTTCTCTTCCCCTCTCTCTTCCCTCCCTCCCTCTCACGTGTGTAAACCTTTCCGCATCTCATCCCACACTCGTGCTGGAGCGCCACATGGAGCGCGCGGCGCCGTGAAGGAGAGAGGACCCTGCGAGTTGTCCTCCTACGCACGTGTCACCGCGGCAGAGAGGTCTCATACGACTCTCCTCCTCCGAGAACTGCAGAGAATGGGGAGCGAAAGAGAGAGAGATGCAGGCGCAAGAGAGCAAGCGACAGGGAAGCAAGCGGCGGCTATACACCGAACATCGTCGGCGTCCCCCCGGGGGGATGATGCTGTATGCTAATCATTGCGCTGAGCTGGGCCCCGGCCCCGCGCCGGGCCTCGCCGGGCCCCGCCGGCCCCACCTGGACGCAGCCGACAGGTCGGCGCACCGTGGCTCTCCAGGCTCCAGCTCACGCTGCCCCCCCCCCCCTTCTGCTCCTCTCCACTCGACCTTGCTGCTTACCTGTGTGATCCTGGCGCACGGCGTACGACAGGAATGCAATCCAACAATGGGCCGCCGGATCGCTGCTGCTGCTGCCGCCGCCGCCGCTGAGGAGTCGTCTTCTTCTCGGGATGCCGCCGCGGCCACTTCACTCACTGACACTCGTCGGTTATCCTTTTGGCACTTTGATCCTTTTGGCACTCACACGCACACACACACACACACACACACACACTCGCGCGCAAACAGCAGCAGCACGCACTCACACACGGGCGATGGCGCGGGCGGGAGCCGGCCCGGCAGTGACAGAGGCAGGTGTGCGAGTGTGGGAGGGGCGGGGGGCGG